GCATAGAGCTTTTCCTTCTTCAAAACCTCCAACACAATCCTTAAACACAATACGTTCAAGGAATGCTCCACATTACTTCTTGAGTAGATTAGGATATCATTTATGAATGTGGTTCATCAAATCCATAAAAACTCAGGAGCATTAGTTAGCCCAAATGGCATAACTAAGAACTCGTAGTGTCCGTACCGAGTTCTAAAAGCGGTCTTAGAGATATCACTGGCTTTGATTCCCTTTGCCCTTGTTATCTACCCACTTTCGCTTCTCTGTCCATTATGCTACATTTCCTTCCCATTAGTGCGATTCTTGAAATCTACCAATTGTGCCCTTGCCAACACATTATGATAGTTTTCAAGCTGAAGCATCATGACATTCGTTTCAAATCATCCCTTAAACCCTGCTTAAAACGTCTCGCCTTCTTCTCCTCCGTATCTCGCCTTCTTTCTCAGAAAAGCCCTTGTACAGTCAATGAGTTCGAAACTCTCTCCATACCCACCAGCCGGTCCTCCACTTCTAGGTCCGTACTACCATGATAGATAAGGGATGCTGTTTCTTGCAACCACAGTAGCAGTGGTCCTAGTGTCGGGGGCAACCATGATGTTGTTTTGGTTGAGGCGGCGAAAAAATGGTCTGTTGAGGAGATGGTACCAGCTCTTGAAAAAATGGCCACCAGCATCATAGCGAGAACTGCTGGGTAAATTGTGGGTTAGTCGTATTAGGATAAACATGTTGTGTGGACTTTTGGGTTTGGTTATTGCTATTGTTGGTCCTGCTTTGGATAGCCTTAATTAAATGATAGTAACTATTTAGAGTCAAGTAAATTGAGGAAATGAAACATAAAGGAATGGTCTACTTTATTTATAAACATTAAAGTTCACATAAATAACGAACCACTTGGCATACCCAGTATCCAAACAAGTTGAGATTCAAAAATTGAAAAACATACATTTAAGCGTAAAGCAAACTAGGCATCATCTAATAATTCTTCTCAGTACCCTCCCTTTGATTTGCCTCTTCTTTTTCCTCGAGTTTTTGTTTCGGGTCAATCGCGAAATACGACGCATGGTTGTACTCTTCATTCGGATTCATTATTAATCTTATTCGTGTAATATGCGATTCTACATTATTGCAAATTTAATGTCTAGTTAAGTAATTCCCTACTAAGCTTAACATGCATTTAAAATCACATCGCTATCATATATATATATCTCATGGTTTCTACATGAATATCTATTAATATCATATGTATAATGGTAAACACTTGTAAATAATAACAAGCCTAAATAAAATCGTAAATAATATTCATTTTTGGTCACGATATTCATGATTGTCATTTCCTGTAATAGACATGCGAAGTGAAATGACATGAATACTTAAAGTGCATACATAACTGGTTCAAGTCGAGCCATGGACGATGTCATAGTGGTTAGTGACTTAGAACAAATTAATTCATAAACAGTGACGCGCAGTGACTACGACAGTGATGCAGTTTGGGCTTTTATTTAGTTGGGTCCAATATAATTATGATGAGTTTTATTTTTTGAAAACAAGTTGATATTTAAATAACTCTTAGCTCTGATACCAATTATGACGACCCGAATCCTTGACTATTCGAGTGTCACTAAATAAAATTCGATTTTGTTTTCATATGGATTTAAATAGTAACAAGAAAGGTAAAAAGCTCATTAAGTAAATAAAGAAGCGATTAACTTCAATAATAATTAATTGCGAAATCTTATGTGTAGTGCTACTAAACTTCTTGAAACATAATAAAATTATTTGGACTGAAATAAAATAATAATGAATGCATTGTATAGCATGTGAATGTGAATGAGGGGGCTTAAACAATAATGTCGGGGACGCAGGCAGCAGCGTGTCCTGACCATGTCAAGGACGAATGCAGCACGCAGCACCGTGTCCTGGTCATTACCCTATTGTTTGGTCAATCATGATTTGACAAAAAACATATCAAGGATTTCTATATAAGGGTTTGACAAAATTGAACCCTTTTTCAAAGAGCAAAACCCTCAAATGAGCCTTTAAATTAGCACTTGTACAGAAAGTCCACTATCGCCAAAAATAGAGATAATAACATTTTCTCAAGATTTATGTCCAAGTGGGATATATTACATCTAACAATTACTGCTTTGAACTTTCCCATGTAATGTTGCTTTCTTTTTATGAAGAAATCTTTGTGGATCTTCTTCCTTGTTGGGGACTCCATGAATAACTCAAGTACGTGGATTGAAGGAATAATTTAGTAAACAACATAGCAAATTATTTGATCGACCAAATGCCTAGAAATAATTTTTCCAACAAACCAGAGCTATATATCCAAATCTAATTAGAAGTTTCCCTACCTGAAAATCCATTTTACTGTTTCTCAATGTTCTTTGTCCGGAACAGATAAAATCTTCACAATACACATCGACTACATGATCAATTGTCTAGTCAACTGGTTCTATCTTGTTTTGTGTTGAATATCTTAAGGAACATCCTTTCAATATACTTTTCCTGTGATTACATCAATCTTCCTCATAATAAAGGATCCTATCTCTAACTTCTACCCATCTAGTTTAGAACACTTCTATTGGTTCCACCTCCATTTCAAATTCACGCACTAACCCAAGCATTTACTAATGCAGGATTGTCCACGTGGATTTAAAATTCCCTCCAAAACCTATTGTTTCATCTGCTGCAAAACATCTCATTAGCCAGGTAATTATACTTACCGTGTTCCTACTTTTCAGTTTAATCAATGAGCTTTGTCTTGACTTCACTTTCTTTATTGTTTGTCTTTCCCATTTTATGATGTACAGATGCTTGTCAAGGACTCTTCACAACGTCTGCCTCTCCACAAGGTTCTTGAGCATCCTTGGATTGTGCAAAATGCAGATCCCACTGGCATATACAGAGGTTGATTCATGCTATATAAACTGTCTTCCTTTTTTGCCATTTATGAAAGATCGCATTTTAGTGCAGCTTTGTACACAGTATTGCATTGTTCCGTGTTATCTAACCAATCCTCCCTACTAAACCAACTAAGCTGTGCTATTAGAGGGTAAATTTGATGTAAAATTATCCTTTGTCATCCAAGCTACATCAACGGGGTATGTTGTGCTCTTATAACGTGTGGATATGGGAAGAGAATGTGAATTCTGGAAATTACTGATTGTACAATTATTTGGAGATAATACTTCGCCTTTTGTTGTGCCATTGTTTATTTTGAAAATTTTTCAATTATAGTAGTCGCATTGTCGCATTTTCCAATTATTGGAGCCATAGAACAATTATACTAAAATTTAGATCCATGAAATCATAGAAACTAAAGAAAATCACACAACAGTAGACCTGAACCAAAAGTTCAAGTGCATATCTCACGGTCAATCACACAGTTTTTTTTTTTTTTTTGTAAAATATGGATCATGTTGCAAAGGAATTGATAGGTTGGGGATTTAAAGGCCAAAAAAAAAAAAGAGAGAACGACCTGTCTGCTACCAAGTGAATAGATTGAAGACTAATGATGCAATTTTCCAGCATATTAGATTTTTAAATTTATTTGCTTGTACGGAAGCCGCTAGAATTTCACCAAAATTTTTTATTTTTTTTATTTTTTGCATTATCCAATAGAAAACTGTCTAGTGTAGGAATTGATAGGTTAGGGATTTTAAAGGCCAAAAAAAAAAAAAAGGAGAACGAGGACCCATCTGCTACCGAGTGAATAGATTGAAGACTAATGATGCAATTTTTCCTGCATATTAGATTTTTGAATTTATTTGCTTGTAAAGAAGTAGTACTGCTAGAATTTCACCAGATTTTTTTTTCTTTTTTTTTTTCCCATTGTGAATGCTAGAAATTCTGATAGCAATTATTTGTACACATAACAGGCCCTTTTTTTACTGCGTAAATCCATTAATTATAAAAATCTTGAATCTCATATAAGAGTCAAGGATTTGGATCTGGACTTGTAAGAAGGTTTCAACTATATATTGGTGAGGCTTCATTTTTCGCATCTTGCACCATTCAAGGAAGCGCTTGGTTTTCAATGAACATATTGTTCGGCTTTAGTTATTGCGATAACAAGAGAATCATCTACGTGCATAATTTCATACGAGTATTGCAAAACCATAGAAATCAGGTTCATAACTAGTAAGTAATAAGTACAACCCATCTTGTCAAATTTGTAACACGATAACGATTCTCGACGATTATATCAACCACCTACTTACCAATACTTGTTGATGAATACGAAGTTCTTTAAAAAATGAATTCTTTACTCCCTGTTCTTTAGTCACTATTTGATGCATGTTTTTTAAAATTCACATTTCCTTAATCTCATTTTCAATCACGCATCTTTCAATAAACTAATTTTTTAATGTGGATACAATATTCTTTCACTCTCTCCAAAAACTCAGAGCTTATTGTTCTCTTTATTATTTTCAGGCTACTTTCAATTTTCAGTTTTTGAAAACATTGAAAACGCTTTTACTAACCTAATTTCAGAAATGAATTTCCAAAAATGAGTTAAAAATTTATAAAGAAAACGGAAAACGCAAACAAAAAAAAAAAAAAAAA